TTCGATAGTAGGTAAAGTTGTAATATTTATTTGATTCTATTTACTTTTATACAGCAACCAATTAAACTTATGAATACAACTCTTACAAATCAAGATAACTTACAGGCTACGTTAGATACTATTTCTGGATCTGTAAAGAAAAGATCCACTGCAGCTCGTCCATTGATTATATCACGTAAACAATCTATAGTCACTGGTGTTACGACTGAAGCAGAAAATGAAAATTATCAAACTGATTCACGAAGTCTTTGGAGTCGTCGACGTAAAATTGATGGTGCATTGAATCGTGCCCCGCCTGGATTCTATAAACGAGTTTATATCACATTAACTCATATGCAAGGTTTAAGCATTGGCAATCTAACACTTAGTCATAATTTGACAAAAGAAGTGAGTTTTTTTCACTTTCTGTAATAATTAAAAAGAGACAAATACTTTTATATCTTAGTTGCATTTTAAACACTTTGTTTAGGATGTTAGGTAGTTGGAAATAACTGACCAGGAAACCCTGTATTGACCCAGGTTTCGTTCTGGTTGACACTCGTCTTCAGCAAGGTGTACCTTCAATCTTCAGGTAGCTAACACTCTGGTGAATCCTGACCCGTATCAACCAGTTTCACAATTTGAGCGTTTATCATTGAGCTATTCATGCCATTACTGCTCTGTAGGACAGGGATATTTACAATTAGTTAATGACTAAGCAGTGACTACAGGGATCATCTGTTCCCTCAAGACTACGGGTACTATTTTACTGACGAAATCCAATAGCGTTCTCCCGTTATGATTTGGGTAATGTCTGGTTGACTAAATTTAGCGTTTAGTTAAATGTTGTATATACTACCAAATAAATCCTTTTTTAGAAATTTTTTGACTTTGTAATTTGTCAAATCCTTGTTTTGTTTTGCGTTCTAACATTTTCATAAAACCAATGTATTCCGCAAACAAATCTTTTCCAACTTCATTTTCAAAACTGCTTGTTTTATGTGATATTTGTTAGCCTGATTTGATCGTTCAATAAAAGCCAGATATAGGTTTTAATTTAGACAGGATTTTCCTACGTAACTCAGATTTGATTAGAGTGATAACTCCTTAGTCTTTGCATCGGTTCATATCATTAGTCTGTGACTTACCAATGCTTTAAAGTAACTTAATAATCAAATGTAATTTCATGCATTTATTTACTTTATTTATCTGAACACATAAGTATTGGTACAAAGGGGCACCAAATACATATGCGCCGCACAAACCTCATTTGATTTGCGTGAGGGCTGTGATACTGCCCAGGTGCCCAAACTGAAGCAGGTGGTTTTCTTAAGGGGCCACACCCGGAGCCTTCGACTTAGAGGTCTAACCCACAAGGCAGTAGAGCATCGTAAGGAGATGCAGCCCAATGGTAGCCGGTGACCAACGATTGGTTCATACGCCATTTGCTCCCTCGGGATACTGGAGCCCATGTGCACCATTGGTTTGGAATCAGGGTTTCCCAACTCCCCTAGGTGGAGGTGCCGTGTCCACCAACCCGGTTAAAGCACCGGACCTTCGCTTTTCGTCCTCTCAATTTCGTAAAAAACACTCGTGGTGCGAGAAGGTAGTGAGTAGAACTTCCCTTACAGAGGCTATATACACGTTGCCATGTGAGAGCATTTCGAGAGGGAGAGCTGACTCTCCCCACTCTCGGCCGTACTAGGGCATTTGGGTGCTTGCAAGGACGGAGTTGAAAAAAAAACGAGATAAGACTCATTGTATTGTGCCTCCCCACGGAAATCTTTAGTAAAAGGCGAAAAATTTGTCCGCAAATGAGGAGACATTAGTTTGGATTAGTGATTAAACCACCTATCTTTCTACCAGGTAGGCCAAATGTTCATGCCATATCCCGTCTACTCCAGTTGAGGTTATCTATGTAACATAAGACTGTATCTGACGTAAACACTGTAGCCAAAAGTTGAGTACATAAACCTTACTTAGTTAACTAGCCATGTTTCTTGTATGAAGTTTAATGATACTACCTAGCTGCTTAAATGAATGTAGATTGAGACTCAATCTTGTAACCTGGTAGTTGAAAATTGTAACTTTCTTGGCTATTCCATGAATAACCTAAGATTACATATCAGTGATAACTAAAGTATTTGAAAAGTTTTACTGATGAAAAATCTTTCGATATCACTAGTTTTCTTCTCATGGAATTATTTTAAGACATTGTGAGTATTTCTTGTTTTGATTTGAAGATTGACAATTTCTTCTTAAATATTTTAACATCATACCATATTTCCCTTATTTTTAAAAAATAATATATCCTATATCGTCTCCCCCCCCTACACACGGACACTTAATCTAGATGACAATGGGTGAACATAAATTTGCTTTAACTGTTGAACATGTATGCACAATGGTTAGTACACCAGAATATCGTCAATTAATTATTGAAACAATTCATGTACTTGGTTCATTGATGATGCATGATGTTGACAACCGAATATTTATTGATTGTATCGTTAAAGTTGAAGATATTGTAGAAAAAGCAAATAATTTATTTTTAATTGATCAAGTAAGTGATTACTTTGAGTATATAGTTTAATTAAACTCTATAAAGGAATATTTGAACGAACAGCTGTTTTGCCTCATATTAAGGGCTTTGCAGTAACATAAACCCATAATTAGTGTAGGAAGGTTTTAGGGATTGTTGAATTCCCATAGTTTGTACGACGTATGGATTTTATTTAGATAATTATTGGAAACCAAGAATCATTGAACAACTGTTTCAACCTACTATGGTGGTTCTCCCATTTCCGTCGGTGATCTCATAGGGGATCGATCTAAGATCAATTCGTGATACAAACTATGAAAATTTGGCAATCGCTACAAACCCATACTGACATTTATCATACGCTCACTAGTGACTAACTTCGAGAAGAAATTATCGAAGTTGTGATCAGTGGAGTTCTACCGTGTCAGGTGTAAGGCAGTTACGCGCTGTAGACAGCGCAAGATAGTCGCGCAATATCACAAATTAACTGAAGTTATACCTACTCACGACTGAATACCAGCTTGATGGTCTAAGGACTAAGCGCCCACTACAAAGCCTTAAGGTTCCCAGTCCCATCCCTGGTGATCATGAATGCGCACTGTTAAACAGACCTATACTAAAATAAAATTGATATTTAACTCTTCCTAGTCGTCAATGGATGTTCAACTAAGATTGGTCATAATGTAAACTATGAAAATCCGTAATTCTTGAATTACAATAGCCAAAATAACGTATGTATAAATAAGCTGTAAGTCATACAGTGTTATTTGTTAAAATAGTGAACGAATACTCTCTGGTGGGATCCACTGTCTCATCGTAGGTTAAGCGACTGTTGAAGTAAGATAATTACTTATCAGTATTTGTCTACACTCCTACAACCATAGCTGGTAATAAATTCTGTCATCGTTCTGAGAATCCTTTCCAACAATTTATCTTTGTTAAAATCGTAACAAGAAACCTTTTACTCATCAAACAATTCAGAAGTTTTATTGTTATGCTAAAGGGTTGCAAAACCAACCACCATTCAACACCGATGATGACTTAGCGAGTAACATTAGTCGTTGTCTTCCACAATAATTTACATCCTACCGATTGAGGAAGTGACTCAGTTTGGTAAATGCTTACAATACTTACTCATAAAAGCAATCAATTGTTTACTGATAATGTTAAGTGATAGAGTGGTTTATAAGCTTCGTAACGTTTACATCTTTTTTATTAGATAAAGTATGGTGGGAACGCCACACTGTGTTGTGCAAAATCAATAAAACAATCTGGAATAACTGATTTAACGCCTAGTAATGATTATCAAACATCACGTAGACAAAGCACTTTAACCTGCCACGGATTACATAATATTTGTCAGCGTTTCTATGACACACCACCTGCTGGAAAATTCGGTACAATGTCCTATATGGTACGTGCCGTATCTGAATTACTTACGTGTAATAAATGTTTCAACCCTGATAAACCTTTACCAATCAATTGCAATGTTCAATAATATTAATATTCGTTTTGCAATTGTATGACCTGCGTCCTTATTTCTTGCTTTATTCCTCATATTGCGTAACTACATATAAACCCTGTCTTTACTTTCTTATCTTTCATTTCACTCCGTCGCATGTGCACTTCTGTACACTACACACTGATCTATTCACCTATTAACATTGGTGGTAGTAAGAGGCTTTGCCTAGTCAATATTTTCTACCCTTTATACACTCAAGTATAGACTCTTTTCATTTAACATTTTTTAATCATGTTTCATCTAGTGGATTGGAGAATTCATAGTGATACTACTGCCTGTCTAATTTATAATAATATCCTATTATTTTGTAACATCTCACCTGTTACTATTTATTTTATACAATCAATGTCCTCTTGATTTTATTGACTGTTGAATTTGGTTTGACACAACTACGTGTAATAATCTAATTCTCATTTTGCAAAAGATACTCAATTTTTATTTTCTGATTTCTCTGCCATCTTGACTTCACCATCTTTTTTTAAAAATCTTAATTTTAATTTAGTTCAATAGTTTATAGTGTGTCATGGTATTTCTCCCACTTTTTCTGATTTGTTTTATCTAGTCGAACTGTACCTCAAATTATTTTAAAGAAGTTGATATGCAGAAAAATGCATTACAGTACGATTCTTTACGTGTATGTACCGTCTTAGAATGATTGCATGTATTAACTTAAAAAAGTAAATGAATGGTGATCTATTGCTTCACTTGTATAGCTAAAAGTGGGTGAATTGGGGATTTCTGACTGTAATAAAAGCGACTTTCATCTATAGGAAATATGTCAGCCTAACAACCGTTTAAAAACCGATTCATACCGAACAACTGCTTTAGGAGTAACATCTATATCCGATACTTGAAGGGAATTGGTACAAGAGGTCCTGTAATTTGCTTTCATGTTGCTTCAAACTCAACTACACGTCTAGAATTCTGATGCCTCGCTCCAACGACACCTACTGTTAGTCAGGAAGGTCAATAATTTAAGGTACCCCAATGACATGCAGTACTTATCCCATCTTAGATTTAATCCTGAGACCTAATAATCTGAAGAAATTCTAGTGAGGTGTCCTTGATCATAATTACTTGAGTAAGTTAACTTGTAAGCTTCAACTAGTTTGGGAATTACGAAGTTGTGCAAACCACGACATAGATAGAACGACTGAGCTATTTATAAGAAAGCAATATCAGTACAACTGAAAACTTGTGCACCAGAATGTGTCAAATAAACTACGTTAAATGAAAACGATCTTAAGCAATCAACTATATCAAGGTTGGGTCGGACCTGTGAGATGGTGATTCAGTTGAACATATACTAGTTGACTTCACTCTACCATTGGTTCTAAAAACTTATCAAACAAGTAAAATGGCCATTTTGCAACTTTACCAACAAATTTTAGCTACTGGGCATTTAAAGTTGATTGGTGAAATTGTAGCTTAATGGTTACAGTTTTCGGTTTGCGAATTTAAACTCCGTTATAGTTTGGGCAGTGGAAAAGTATCATTAACTCTTACGATGTGGTAGCTTTAAATGTCACTTCACTTGTTCCACTGGATAAAAAGGCAGTAGTGTAGTGTACGAACCTGTACCTGGTTGGTAAAGTGAGTTATTTAATCCTCTTCTATTCTGGGGGACAGATAAGTCTGTTTAAGAACTTCATCAAAAAAATAATTCCGCTATAAACTAGTTGCATCAATTTTTTTTAAGACTGTTATGTGTTCACAAGTTCATGATTTGCTGTATAGATAAGGTTCGAACATAACCATGATGATAGAAAATTGCCTTTTGTAAAAAATTAAGTAGATTTAGCACTATACTAATCAGATCACTCTATTTGCATAAATGATAAAGAAATCCAAAGGTGGTGAGCGAGTGGACTCTAGTTAAATTTTCAGACATCCTGAAGTAGTACTTTACTTTGCAGGAATCATTAGCATTCAAAGTACAATGATATCGAAGTCAATGAGAAACTGGGATATTTATTAATATTATTTGATCTAAGCAAGGCTTACTAGTAAGAAAATAGTCCAACTAAGACAAACATTTGGAACTACTGAATTAATAGGTAGTACTCAAGCATAACGGTACGGAAGAAGTGCTCATGAACGCCTTTTCTCAAGCTAAGAATTATAGCAAAATAAGATTTTTTATACACCAGTAAGTATACTTGCCAAATTTAGGTGACAGAGAAAAACTTAAAGTGGTAACAAATTAAAGCTTTTCCATTTAGAACAAAACTGCAACCATGATTTCAGATTAGCTGGCAAGACATCCGACAGTTTCAATTCCTTAATAGAAACAAATAGATAACAATCAACGATTGATGGCAGTTCACGATTGAACTTCACAAAATATGGGTGGTTATTTAAAATATTTAATGACCTCTGTTTTACATCTAGAGTAGTGTTACGTATCGACAATCCAGGTAATAGTAAACTTGAGTCCATAATAATAATAAGTGATGAGAGTTGGTCGAAATTGTCAGGTTCTATAATTTTTCCAATCAATTGTACAAGCATACATTCTCCATACAACGTTGTCGGTGTAATGGATTTATCAAGGGATGAAACAGTAATATCACGACAGCTTGAGTTCCATATAAAATGTAGACACAGTTTTGTGTCAAATTGCCAGTGACATGTGTTATTACTTGAAGAACCATGCATATCAATTGAAAGAATTTCCATTAACTTTTTAAGTGATGTAGGAAGTTCTCTTACTGTTGAATGTACAAATGAGTTAATTGTTATTTTACATTGGTTACTAAGTAGTATGTGACAAAACAAGAATACCGATAATGGAGGACTATTTGGATTACACTGAATAATAAGCGTGGAAGTTTCTTTAGGGACAGTAGTAGAATTGTTTGAAGTTGTTGGAGTACTGTTTGTCGTTGTCCTACTAATATGTTGAGAATGAGAATAATCTGTGAACATACTCAAAATATCATCTAACTCTAGATCTAATTTACTTAGTTCTTTGTGAATGTTGTCGTGTTGTACATCTTTAACAAGATTCCCTTTATAATGATTCGAAATATTTGAAATATGATATGTTAACTGACGAAGCTCAGAAATAAAGTTGCTAGATTTTGAAGCATCACCAAGATTGGAATTATTTTTAGGATTATAACTTTTAAACATGTTTAAAAGGGATGATATATTATCGTCTAATTGACCAAGCTCTTTAAGAAGACTTTTATCACGTTCAGTTAATTCATTAGAAACACCTTCAGTTGATATTTGAAGGCACGACGATGAATCATTTTCTTTATCAAGATGGTAAAAATTTTCCAATTTATACATAGTATCTGTATGTGCAAAGTTAATCGAACTTGGTATTAAACGATCCAGTCTATACATGATTCCTGGAAAAAATAAACCCATAACAGATTTGAAATTATAATTACTTTTAAAATGATCAAGATGCGAGAACATTATCAAAATAAAAACAGTTTACATTTCACTGACTATTATTATTATTATTTAGACACATAAATATGGTACAAGGAAGCACCAGATAAATATGCGCCTCACAAATCTCATTCGATTTGTGTGAGGGCTGTGATACTGCTCAGGTGCCCAAACTGAAGCAGGTGGTTTTCTTAAAGAGCCAAACCCCGAGCCTTTGACCTGAAGGTCTAGTCCACAAGGCAGTGGAGCATCGTGAGGAAATGCAGTCCCATGGTAGCCGGTGACCAACAATAGGTTCATACGCCATTCGTTCCATGAGGATCCTGGAGCCAGCCCATGTGCACCATTGGTTTGGAATGAGGGTTTTCCAACTCCCCCAGGTGGACGCACCGTGTCCACCAACCCAGTTAAAGCTGTGGACATTCGCTTTTCGTCCTCTCAATTTCGTAAACAACAGTAATGTAATGAGAAGGAAGTGAGTAGGACTTCCCTGGCAGAGGCTATATACGCGTGGCCATATGAGAGCATTTCGAGAGGGAGAGCGGACTCTCGGCCGTACCAGGGCATTTCACTGACTATAAGTTTGAGGTTGAATTTATAAACTCTGAATAGAAACCTCAAATGCCTTGGTACGACCGCGGGTAGGAGAGACCGATCTAACATGGTCACGCGTATACAGTCACACCCAGGGAAGTCCTACTCATGGCGGGGGTGTTGTTTACAAAAGTGAGAGGATAAAAGTGAATGTTTGGTGCTTGAACCGGGTTGGTGGATATGGAGGATCTATCTAGTGTACAAAAACCGAACCCTGTGAATATAGTTCAGAGAGAAAACAAAAAAATAAAAACTATAACTTTAATGGACTTATTCCGGAAAATCTTCTTATGGCTCAAATACATTTATACGAAATTCAGAGCGCCACCGAGTATCCTTATCAAAAAACTTATTTATTTGCTTTACTAAGATAAATGGAAGGTGAACACAGTGGAAGATAAAAACAAGCACGATTCTAAATGATGCAAGTAGGTTAGTTGACCGGCTATTTTTCATCTGAAATATGGTATCTAAACTTGTACTTAATTGTTGTTTGACTCAATATACAATTAAGAAGCCTTGGTGAAAATACTTTGGAAGTAATCAGTTGACAATATCTGTCCTACACTTTCAATGAAACAGAAACTATACAACTGTGCAATAGATCCATAGAAGCGAAAGACTCTCCATAGTGGTCACACTTACCTAAAAGTATTAGTTTAATATCAATATTAAGGTGTAATAGTTATCTAAATCGATTTAAAAGCCCCAGCTGTAAGAAATCAAAGATACTTTGGGGATACGAATATGCATTAATTTTAAGCAACTACTGTTTTATGGGGCCTTCATATAAACCATTCTCTTCTAGCTATCAGTCTGAATGTCCAAAGAAACTTAAGCGTGAAAGCTGGTGGGGGTGAGGCTATACATTTGTTTCTGATGCATAACTCACCACTATACACCTATCTAGTTATGAAATTTGCTAGTCGCAGTATTGCATAATCCTACCAGTGAGCTTATATACATATATATATATATATATATATATCAGAATGTGCCATAAGGGACACAGAAGAGTTCAGCGTGGAAAGTTAGTCTCCCGATTACACTCGGGTTACCTGAACTTAGATGCTGATAAACAAGGAACAGAAAATTAAAGTATCTACCGTTATGGAGTCGAGTATTGAGTTTATGTATATCACAGTCGAGTAACACGTAACATAAAATACATCATCCAGTGGGGGCTTCTGATATAATCGTAAATAGACAAGGATTGAGATTACAGAGGAATTAAGTACATCACGTGATGTACTCTCATCATCTTTACTATGTACATCGTCGATAATATTCGGTCATTGGTCCTGATAACTGAATACGTAGGTTAAATAAAGTCTGTCTGTAGCAGTCAGTAACAGTAAATCTGTTAATAGTTCTAAATAGAACTATTTCCATTGGTGGCAATAAAGGACATCCGTTTGACTAAACAGTATCACTTGGACATTAAATAGGAATAATATATTTGTAAACTCTCAGCGAATGAATTTGAAGTAAATCCAACGTTTCGTCTGGCAATCTGGTCCAAGCTTTTTCAAGGAAACGTTGGATTTACTTCAAATTCATTCGCTGAGATTTTACAAATATATTATTCCTATTTAATGTCATACATCAACCCGGCGCTGAAATACTGTGAAACTATTTGCTCTTATTTAGACGAAAGTTCTTAAATAAGTGCCACTTGGGACTAATTTTGTCATCCAATAATATATATGGCGAACATACACGACTAGTGGGTAGTTTTGGATTGGCAGAATTTACCACATATCTTAAAACACAGAGAAACGATGGGACACTAACACATAAAACCCACACCTCACATGTAAACAACAAACTCGAAACACGCTCGTGTCCAATACCCAATGTCATTGTAACAGCCTGTATGAACCAATCGGTTCCTTTGCTATTACTTCTTGTTTCGTTTCGGCTCCAGGTCATTGATATTCTCCAATTGGCGGTAGTCTAAACACTCGGCCGCACTAATTCCAGTCAGTTTGGTCATTGTTTGTGTATTCGTGTATACCGTAGTTCGAGTGAGTGCGTTTGTTTCAGAGTAGCAGGGCTTTTGGGATCTAACAGCTATTGCATAACCAGGTAGGAGGTCAGTTGATTGCTATGTGGAAAACAGTAAATAGGAAAATTCCAGTGCTAAGAGATGTTGGTTGTGTCAAGAGGTAAATAAGTAAGCAGTGACCTACTTTGATGAAGAGAACATGATTTGTAAAAAAGAAATAATTATTATTATAATCAACTGCACTAGTTATTGTTTTTCTGCACCTGTTTTTTTAACTGTACAAAAAATAATCTCCCGTTGTTTCGTGACCTCGTACGAACTCTCGTACACTCAGTAGTCTCGCTTGTGGATTTTGACACGATCTCGGCATTATATCGATACCACGAGATCTCCGACAAATGCATCTTAATACAACCTTCAACTGCCTTCTGATATTTGGCATTCAGAGGGATCTAACCTAGTAACTGGAACGTAGTTTCCCTGTAGTTGCGATCATAGTAAACCGTAATTTAGTGACTACTACAAATAAATTAATAGTTGAGACTGTATAAGGAAATCGAAATGTACGAACAAGAGGAGGAACAGAGATGATAACAAACGATATTGAAGTAAGCTGACGTGATGGTGGCAATAGTAGGTAAGTAACGAGACATGCATCAGGCACAGTCCAAGCGGGAGATGGCAATCCATTGGTGAGTTTAAGTTTGTCGAGTCTCCACTTGAAACTGTCCACTGAGGTATGTGGCCACTTCTGCCGGTGGAACATACCAAACGAGGCAAATCTTAGTGAGTAAAAGTGGGGACGTAACTGAGTCTTCGTTTTTTGATATGCAAACCTTCAAGAGTCGCCTTGATGGGCGTAATGGTAAGGTTCTGGTAGGATCTTCGTGCGGGGATGACTTTGTGTACTTAGCACACTGTGTACCATAATTACCTCACCCCTTATTCCTCTACAACTCAGCAAGGACAATATTAACTGTCAGAATTCATCTTCGTAAGATGTTTTCCCTAACTCCATCACCCACTTCATTGCCCGTTTACGCTTCTTTCGAGTAGAGGAGGTGAATCGACTTTGTGAACCTCGGGGTAAGGCCATGAACATGTCTTAAACAATGTAAGAAACAACTTTGGGCTGATTACGCCAAGTTGTCTTCAAATAAGGTGAAGAGTTGGATTTGAAGTGTAGTTAGAGACAGAGTTCAAGTTCTCTGTGGTTACTTGTCCTAGATCGCACTTTGTGAAGATGATCGGCAGATGGTTATCATGAAGAAAGTAAGTTCTGCCCACTTCCTTACTGTTGTGAGGTCCTTCGACGATTCAGGGAATCCTCCTAGCTCCGTATGGATCTCCGTTTCTTAGGATCGTCAGTATGAGCGGGGGTTGGCGGTTTAGATTTGTCTAGGAAGTTGCTTGTAAAAGTCAGGGGGGATAATGAAGCTAAGGTGGTTCGCTGTGAGACTTTCGAGACTCCCCAGTTCACAGGCATTTCATGTGCCTTGATACAGGACATCCAGTTCTCGAGGGGATTCCAGAGCCAGGATAGAAGTGGGTCAGTGAGACTCATCCATGTGACCTTTGTGGTACTGTGTTTAAAGCTTTTAGGAAGTCGATAAATATTACTTGAACTGCTACCATTGACTCTAGAAGGTTCTCAAGCTGTACCATTCTAGAAGACTGGATGCTCAAGACCTGTCTTATCCAAACTTGTGTCGTACCTCACAAATAACGTTGCTTTCATCCATGAATTCCATCATCTGACCGTTAGCCAGTACTTCTATAGCGCATGAGATTATAGGAGGAAGTGCAACTCATCCTCTACAAGTGGGATGTTTCCTGCCTTCTCCCCTGAGAATTAGGGGGAAAGTAGCATGTTTCCACTGTCTCGGGATTAAAAGGGATTTTAAAAAGTTCATGAACAGGTCACAAACCGGTATACTGGTGTTCTCTACCCACTGTCTCAAGATTGCAGAGAGGAGTTCGTCACATTCTAGCGACTTTCTTGGCGTTAGGGACTTCAGTTTTGTTGATTAGAACCTGGAATGAGGTGGATATTTCCCATACCATCAGCTGACACTAGACTGGAAAGGTGACCAGTGAATGTATATCCTTGGTTTAATTAAATGGCGAAACTGATACTCAGGGTTTGTGCCATTTCTAGGTTGGTAATATCTTCACTATTAGGCTCTATGAGAGTTCAGCCCCTTTTTTTAAAGGATTCTATTTAGTCATGAACCTAGAGATATATCTCGAATTAGTTTATATTCTAACTGTTGGCTCCGTACATTAACGTTGAACCTGTCACTCAATATCGAGTAGGAGCTGTAATCAAAACACTTGAGTGAATTTTGTCCTTTCCCCATTTCCTCACATCATCTTAATGTCAATATACGCTGGGAACTTTTATGGCTCCAATGAAACTCTTGTGAAATCGCCCTCTCAATATCACATCCATCTTACCGAGATTCAGTAATGGGGTATCGAAATCGCAGTTGAAGAATATCTGGTCAAACCACAAGCTCGATAGTATTGGTATCACTTCGAGGGTATTTCCCTTCTCTGAATGAGCAGGAGAGTATACTTCAAAAATCAAGTACCTAGCGCTGTTCACTTTAAAGCAACATCAACGACACTCCGATAACTTCATTTTCTACGGCATCATGGCTTTGAGGATGCTGTCAACATACATTGCCGCACAAACCGTGCCGAGTTGATGTATGACATTAAATAGGAATAATATATTTGTAAAATCTCAGCGAATGAATTTGAAGTAAATCCAACGTTTCCTTGAAAAAGCTTGGACCAGATTGCCAGACGAAACGTTGGATTTACTTCAAATTCATTCGCTGAGAGTTTACAAATATATTATTCCTATTTAATGTCCAAGTGATACTGTTTAGTCAAACGGATGTCCTTTATTGCCACCAATGGAAATAGTTCTATTTAGAACTATTAACAGATTTACTGTTACTGACTGCTACAGACAGACTTTATTTAACCTACGTATTCAGTTATCAGGACCAATGACCGAATATTATCGACGATGTACATAGTAAAGATGATGAGAGTACATCACGTGATGTACTTAATTCCTCTGTAATCTCAATCCTTGTCTATTTACGATTATATCAGAAGCCCCCACTGGATGATGTATTTTATGTTACGTGTTACTCGACTGTGATATACTATGATGATTAGAAGTATTTGAACTGTAGTATAAACTAGTAATCCCAGTAATAACGCAATTTAATCAAGGAGTATCAGATGAGCCCGAACGAATGTATTGTATTTGGAATTCAAAATTACAACAGTCATCAATACTAAGAAGTCATTGATTTATTTAAACACCACAACCGCCACAGCTCGAATTGGAGTGTAAGTGTATCGGTCCGAAAGTGTATTGGATGTAGACTCTGTATTATCTAGAATGCACTCATTAGTATTAGAATTAACAACCAAAATTGGAACAGACTCACCTGGGTTCTGGAATTGTATACAATCAGCATGCCGGCTTTGTAGTGAAACCATTGGTATTTAGAATTTGCATCATGGGTTTTCCAACAATATCCTCCCCCACGAAATAATGTTGGGTCCTTATGTCGCAATGTTTTAGCCAATATGACATTTCCAATTTGCAGTATCTTCTCAAATCTCACGCATCGACTACTGTATATGAGTATTTGGGAATAAACACTGATATATATTTCGAGGTATTCCATCATGTGACTTTGATTTGAATAAAAATCATGATACATATTCCTTTTTGTTTTTCATATTAGAATATACAGATGGATATGCATTGATATATGTAATTAACACATGTGATTCAACTAGGCTTGATTTACCTGCGAAACAATCGAATAGAAAACATTCATCTGCCTCATATTCATTAAGATAATCTTGGACTTGATTTGGATTCTCTGTCTGTGCAAGCTTCACTTCTGGGCAAGCTGGTTCTCTGATTATTTCGGTAAATTTTGCTATCCCATCTGATTCATCATACCCCTGACTAGGGATTCTATTCAACATACATTGTTCGTGAGAGTATCCAACATATGACACAATAACATCAGAAATATGACTAGAATTCAACTCATAAGAAACATATTTGTCACATTCATGAGGAATATCATTAGAGATAAATTCATTGTGAGGACCACTGACACTTGATATGATATCATAATTCGATTCTTCTGAAATATTTTCCTCAAATGAATTAAGAGTTTCATTAAAGAATAATGAATCAACAGGGAATTCAGCATCTACCAAGACTGAATCTGGTTTTTGATCATGATTTGACTCATTTAACATTCTATTCTCAGAGTTGTAAGAAATTCCATCAGAAGTATGTGAATTATTACGACAAACCACATCTGGTTCAATATCATGAGAAATCCGATAAGTTTGTTGGTTAAAATTTTTTGTCTCACAATGATTCTGAGCTTCAGTTAACTCTGGACTGCTATGTGACGTTATACCACTTCTAAATAAAGATAGCGGATCATTAGAAGCATCCATCTTAGCATTACTTTCAGCGAAATGAACCATGGTATTACAAACTGACTGAATATGTCCAGTTATACCACATTTAAAGCATTTAGAATTACGAAATATACATGAATTACATGGGTGAAACTTGCCACAGAACATGCATTTACTAAACTCGTGCTCATCATCATGGACTGTTTCACAACTCAATGAAGTATTGTCTGAATAACTTTCATTACGCATCGAACTACGACGACTGTTTGAATAAGTGGAATTCCTGATGTTCTGACGAGTCATTTTATCGGATTTTCCTTTCTTACCGCATTCGGAATTTGTATACTTTACATGATCCAACAGCAGTTGCTTGAGAGTTGCATAGGGGAGTGAAATCGGTTTGTCTGGAAGTGCCAAAATCTTTATAAGGCTGTATGCTTCTTTCCCGATGAATGAAAGGAAATGGGCCACAATATTAAAATCCTCATCATCTTCTTTGGTCATAGCCCAGATTTCGAACCTTTCCATGTACTCCTCAAAAGCATTAAAATCTGAATTTATATTTAACCGTTCCATCACAGTCTCAGTCGCGACGCCAATATCATGATTAGAAGTATTTGAACTGTAGTATAAACTAGTAATCCCAGGGATAACGCAATCTAATCAAGAAGTATCAGATGAGCCCGAACGAATGTATTGTATTTGGAATTCAAAATTACAACAGTCATCAATACTAAGAAGTCATTGATTTACTTAAACCACATATACATAAACTCAGTACTCGACTCCATAACGGTAGATACTTTAATTTTCTGTTCCTTGTTTATCAGCATCTAAGTTCAGGTAACCCGAGTGTAATCGGGAGACTAACTTTCCACGCTGAACTCTTCTGTGTCCCTTATGGCACATTCTGATATATATATATATATATGTATATAAGCTCACTGGTAGGATTATGCAATACTGCGACTAGCAAATTTCATAACTAGATAGGTGTATAGTGGTGAGTTATGCATCAGAAACAAATGTATAGCCTCACCCCCACCAGCTTTCACGCTTAAGTTTCTTTGGACATTCAGACTGATAGCTAGAAGAGAATGGTTTATATGAAGGCCCCATAAAACAGTAGTTGCTTAAAATTAATGCATATTCGTATCCCCAAAGTATCTTTGATTTCTTACAGCTGGGGCTTTTAAATCGATTTAGATAACTATTACACCTTAATATTGATATTAAACTAATACTTTTAGGTAAGTGTGACCACTATGGAGAGTCTTTCGCTTCTATGGATCTATTGCACAGTTGTATAGTTTCTGTTTCATTGAAAGTGTAGGACAGATATTGTCAACTGATTACTTCCAAAGTATTTTCACCAAGGCTTCTTAATTGTATATTGAGTCAAACAACAATTAAGTACAAGTTTAGATACCATATTTCAGATGAAAAATAGCCGGTCAACTAACCTACTTGCATCATTTAGAATCGTGCTTGTTTTTATCTTCCACTGTGTTCACCTTCCATTTATCTTAGTAAAGCAAATAAATAAGTTTTTTGATAAGGATACTCGGTGGCGCTCTGAATTTCGTATAAATGTATTTGAGCCATAAGAAGATTTTCCGGAATAAGTCCATTAAAGTTATAGTTTTTATTTTTTTGTTTTCTCTCTGAACTATATTCACAGGGTTCGGTTTTTGTACACTAGATAGATCCTCCATATCCACCAACCCGGTTCAAGCACCAAACATTCACTTTTATCCTCTCACTTTTGTAAACAACACCCCCGCCATGAGTAGGACTTCCCTGGGTGTGACTGTATACGCGTGACCATGTTAGATCGGTCTCTCCTACCCGCGGTCGTACCAAGGCATTTGAGGTTTCTATTCAGAGTTTATAAATTCAACCTCAAACTTATAGTCAGTGAAATGCCCTGGTACGGCCGAGAGTCCGCTCTCCCTCTCGAAATGCTCTCATATGGCCACGCGTATATAGCCTCTGCCAGGGAAGTCCTACTCACTTCCTTCTCATTACATTACTGTTGTTTACGAAATTGAGAGGACGAAAAGCGAATGTCCACAGCTTTAACTGGGTTGGTGGACACGGTGCGTCCACCTGGGGGAGTTGGAAAACCCTCATTCCAAACCAATGGTGCACATGGGCTGGCTCCAGGATCCTCATGGAACGAATGGCGTATGAACCTATTGTTGGTCACCGGCTACCATGGGACTGCATTTCCTCACGATGCTCCACTGCCTTGTGGACTAGACCTTCAGGTCAAAGGCTCGGGGTTTGGCTCTTTAAGAAAACCACCTGCTTCAGTTTGGGCACCTGAGCAGTATCACAGCCCTCACACAAATCGAATGAGATTTGTGAGGCGCATATTTATCTGGTGCTTCCTTGTACCATATTTATGTGTCTAAATAATAATAATAATAGTCAGTGAAATGTAAACTGTTTTTATTTTGATAATGTTCTCGCATCTTGATCATTTTAAAAGTAATTATAATTTCAAATCTGTTATGGGTTTATTTTTTCCAGGAATCATGTATAGACTGGATCGTTTAATACCAAGTTCGATTAACTTTGCACATACAGATACTATGTATAAATTGGAAAATTTTTACCATCTTGATAAAGAAAATGATTCATCGTCGTGCCTTCAAATATCAACTGAAGGTGTTTCTAATGAATTAACTGAACGTGATAAAAGTCTTCTTAAAGAGCTTGGTCAATTAGACGATAATATATCATCCCTTTTAAACATGTTTAAAAGTTATAATCCTAAAAATAATTCCAATCTTGGTGATGCTTCAAAATCTAGCAACTTTATTTCTGAGCTTCGTCAGTTAACATATCATATTTCAAATATTTCGAATCATTATAAAGGGAATCTTGTTAAAGATGTACAACACGACAACATTCACAAAGAACTAAGTAAATTAGATCTAGAGTTAGATGATATTTTGAGTATGTTCACAAATTATTCTCATTCTCAACATATTAGTAGGACAACGACAAACAGTACTCCAACAACTTCAAACAATTCTACTACTGTCCCTAAAGAAACTTCCACGCTTATTATTCAGTGTAATCCAAATAGTCCTCCATTATCGGTATTCGAAATAGTATATATATATAAGCTCACTGGTAGGATTATGCAATACTGCGACTAGCAAATTTCATAACTAGATAGGTGTATAGTGGTGAGTTATGCATCAGAAACAAATGTATAGCCTCACCCCCACCAGCTTTCACGCTTAAGTTTCTTTGGACATTCAGACTGATAGCTAGAAGAGAATGGTTTATATGAAGGCCCCATAAAACAGTAGATGCTTAAAATTAATGCATATTCGTACTCCCAAATTATCCGTTGGGTTTCATGAATTCATGCAAGTGGAGCTTTTTACATTACCATAAATGGTGTTAATTAGTAATGATATACTTGTTTCTATGAATATGGACCCAAATTTTATACACGAAAGCTCTTCTTCATTTATCCGATTATTTTAGCATAAGTTATTTCAATTTGGTCATATCGGTTAATAAAGTGGGAAATGCTCTTCTTATGTTGTTAGGGGAAATAAAAGAAAGTTTTAGTCTTCAAAATAAAGTCATTCCTACTTAACATACTCTTAAATTCGTGGTTTGTCCCGGTGTACATAACTTTTCTTACCGTGGAATTTCCCAACAATTTGTTCGTAATTTCTGGAGTTTTTAAGTACAGATTTTTTTAATAATATTAATCATAATCCATTTTTGAAAATTTGTGTAGAAAGTCTGAATGATGCACAGACAAACACACACACACATTATATATATGTGAACATTATTCTTCCATCAAAAACAAACAAATTCATAGTAATAAATTATTTAAAAGGAGAAAAAGGGATTTGTACAAGGGGAAGTGATATCAATACAAAGAAGTAGTAATGCAAACTTAATAATTTACACAATGTAATTAAATAATCAATTTTAAAAAAAGAATGGTGGGTATCTAAAAGTTTGACAATTATGTTAGAGCATAGTTAAATTTAGGGTAATAAAATTATCTAACCATGACATGATTACAAAATTAACGACTCCTGATTCATGATATTTCATATTGAAGGAAAAACTGAATAAATGATAATCAATTGTAATGAATTACTCCAGAAAAAGGTTTATTATGAAGTGCATCATCATAAATTCAACCAGTCGAAATGACTAGAATGTAAGATATTCGCAACTTGTGCAGAACAAGATGATGCAATGGACAGCAATAAGGGTAGATCTTCTGGCAAGCAACTAAAAATGACAAAAGAAACATGATCAATGTGACTAAATAACCATGAAGATTTTATATTCTAACTTCCAATCAAGAACTACGGGTTGTTATACACTTCAATAACGAGTTTTAAGTAGTGTACACGAACACATATTGAACGATTAAAGTAAAGATTGATGTAGTACGACCATCAAAATTAAAAACTTCATTTCTATTAATTGTCTTGAATGGTAGATAAAAATAATAATGTTAGTGGCTATAAGCACTGAGATGGAAATAAGCAACATGCATTGAAAAATACAAAGAATTCAGAAAACAACTGAACACTTCACAATGATGTTTCTAAGTGAGACGAAGTTATATCTTAAAGGTAGCATCCTTATTCTAGATAACGTGAAACAAATTCACGATTTTCAAGTATATGTTGGTTACCGGTAACTTTAAGGTTTTCTTACAACGAAATCTTCCGTAAAATCTACTACTGAGTTGAATAATAGTAAATTTCAGGAAATTTTGATGCACCGTCACATGTATACATCACTTGAAATCATTTCTAAGATGGTTGATATAGATTGACAGGTTGGGTTAAGTAAACGGCAGGATCATATTAGAGCTTAGTGTACAGAAATCCTCAAATTTTATTTTATCAACTGATTTGATTATAAGTAAGGTTTTGTAATTTTTTCGTTTTTGATATTTAGGAACTTCATCTGATTAATATCTGTTGCCATATGTACATCTTGAACGGATTGTCTCGACATAGTGGCTAGCAAGGAAAACTCAGAACATGAGTTTCGTCATAAGTGAAATTTGTCAGCTGAATGTTTCAACAGACTCAAACTCAGTCACATTGTGAATATCAACAGCAAAATGCCCCGGTACGGCAGAGAGTGGGGAGAGTCATCTCTCCCCTCTCGAAGTGCTCTCACATGGCCACGTGTATATAGCGTCTGTCAGGGAAGTCCTACTCACTGACTTCTCGTGGCATCACTGTTGTTTACGAAATTGAGAGGACGAAAAGCGAATGCCCGGCGTTTCAACCGGGTTGGTGGACACGACGAGTCCACCTAGGGGAGTTGGAAAACCCTCATTCCAAACCAATGGTGCACATGGGCTGGCTCCAGGATCCTCATGGAACGAATGGCGTATGAACCTATTGTTGGTCACCGGCTACCATGGGATTGCATCTCCTCACGATGCTCCACTGCCTTGTGGACTAGACCTTCAGGTCAAAGGCTCGGGGTTTGGCTCTTTAAGAAAACCACCTGCTTCAGTTTGAGCACCTGAGCAGTATCTCAGCCCTTACACAAATCGAATGAGATTTGCGAGGCGCATATTTATCTGGTGTTTCCCTGTACCAATATTTATGTGTATAAATAAAATAAAATAATAATATCTGAGGAGACAAAATAGGAAGAAACATGGATACTGTATTTCACTGTTAACCATATACTAAATATTCTAAAATCGTTTTGTTTGCTATTATGTGTAAGAGCGAGATGGATTCCTACTCCGCCTGTAGCTCCTACGGGAGCTACTGTCGGTCCCAAACCCGGGTAAAAGAGGAGGGTTGGGTATGGGATTAGCGACCCAATCCCGTAGAAAACCAACTCGCTAAAAAAAACGCTAACCAGAAAAGAAAAACTAGTTGTTATACTGATGATATAAGAATTACATTTCGCAATTCACATAATGAAATAGAAGAAGTTGGATTAACCATTTATAATCAAACAAAATCATAAGTAATAATTCTGGAAATGAACTCTATTAACTAATTATGTTGTTTCAAAAATAGCATTATTCACTAAAATGGAATTACGATGCATATTTTTTTAAAACAAAATGCACGTGATTTGGAAATCGAAATGAACCATTCAATTTTATGTGAAAATCTCACTACAAACACGTACATCACTGGACTGCTTCTTAACAAAAAATATATATATTGAACAGAACAGACAACAATTGCTATTTATTTATGTAATTCACAACATCTTGTCTTTTTTATACTAGAGCCACTTTCATTGTATTTGACAGGACCGAGCCTTTGAGTTTCTTAATATCCTACAAGCTCTGTACAAAATACCACAGGTAAAATGAGAGTACATAACTAACGTCCCACATTATTCAAAACCAGTAATTGAGTTAGGTAAAGTTCCCCAATTTCGTGATTGCTTAGCAACTTGACCATTGACAGCATTCTGAAAACAGCTCTGATGAAAGAACATGGTAGTGGTGAGGGTATTTCTTTGCAAAAGACTATTAGATTTTGAGTATGTGGATGAAAATGCTCTACTATGAGATAATATACAAGTATGAAAACTCCACTTAATTATTTGTCAACCAGTGTCTTCAAGTATGTCATGTGATTTGAACGTTCTAAATCAAAAGTAATTTCACAAGAATAACAGAAGTCTGTATTTGTACTCACTCTGTGGTGACCTGTTAGATAAAGTCGTAAAACGTTTTGTATCTTGACAACTGAGTGACTGTTGGTGGTAACGTTACTGACGAAGTCAATCTACAAATAAGCCAGAGAGGCTAATGCTAAACTGTGACTTTTTCGGACAGATCGCAATGTCTTGGTGTATAGATCGAGTAGTTTTCTCTCATGCTTGTGGCACCTCGCTCCTTTCAAATGAGAATGTTCGGTGACTTTTTGTGTTCTAACACCGTCATTTCGGAAATAATGCTGACATTCAGCAGCAACACCACGTCAGTAATACTGTGGTGACGATGACTCAGTTTGTGTCACTATCTTGAAACACTGGTCTTAGCGGCTTGGACGTATCATTCCAAAGGCTTTTACATAGTGGACTATTTGCCGATAATTGGACTTGGTGGAAAAACTGGAGAGAAGATATAACACTGTTGTATTAAAGAAGGTTTTACAAGACTGGCATCTGCCCGTTTATAAAAACTTCTTAATCATGGTTATAAAGATGGTGAGACTCAATGCCTTTAGATATGGCTGAAAATAGAAGCCCTTGGCTGTGATTTCTGTTTGTCATAAAAATAAAAGAAATGCCTTTTACTGAAAGAGGCCTCTTCCGGTTTTATTGTTAGCTGAATAGCATCTATTTATGTACACTATTCTTGTCCACATGTAAATACTTTCCTTTCTTTCGCGCGCACAATGAAACCCCCCTTTTCTCACCTTTTGTTTTTTCATAATGTGATCTCTGTACTTTGCGTGGTACATTCTATTTTTGGTCCTTAATTGTGCCAGATTTATGCGTATCCAATAAATAAATAACCTCATTTAGTACTGACAGGAATATGATCTAACTAACATACTGGTATGAATATCATTTCAAAGAAGTGAAATAACGAAGTGATACAAAGTCATTGAATGTTACATGTGAAGATTCATAATCTTATTAATTGAAATTTAACAGATCCAACACAAGTTGGAGCACTATAGCTGACATGAATCGGAACTGATACCACTTATCACTGATAAATGTTTGTTTTAAATAATCAATACACACTAGTATTCTACAGTACGTCTACTAATCATTTTTTCTTGTGATACTTCCCGTGCCAACTTTTATGCAGTATGACATAAAAATTCAGATAAATTGGAAACATGTTACAGGATTTCGTCTTTCCACAAGCAGTATTATGATCTTCATGGGAAGTAAAATACATATGGTTCACCTGTATAAATAATTTCTACCCTGAATATATATATTCATTGAATAAGTCAGTGGACACATTAGGTCGATAGACAACGCACTGAAGTTTGAAACAATAAGTATAAAGTTTGAGTTTTAATATGGACATCAACACAGATGCAGGTACATCCGGCTGATGGATCCAAATACGTTAAAACGAACATCATGGACTTCAGTATTACCCTAAACCCAAATATACTACAAAGTAATGTTATCTATAAGTAATCAGTTTTTCAAAATAACCGGTCAACTTATACAACGAATTTTAAAAAATGCCCACAGCATTTTATGCAATAATCCATTCTTTTAACTTTTTTACAACAAGTTTATATACCTGAGTTTAAGGAAAACCGATAACATGAAAGTTAGTCTTAGTGCATAACATCTCAAAACATAGACAGAGTAGGAATCAAACATCCAGTCACTAATCATTCATTCAATGTTACAAAAAGTGAGCAACAAAATTCCAAAAAGTCTATTATATGTCATAACTTGTAAGCATGAAAACTAATTTTAATAAACAAATAATTATTGTCACTAACCCTGCAGCAACGGTCATTCGGTCGACTCGATGAAGCGTATTTGAGCCTTCTTTAACTAACAAATTTGTCAGTATTGAACTTTTAAGATAAATCGATTGCAGATTACCCTCCAGATGTTTCAGAGTCATCAGTGAACAGTTTGTTGAATCTAACACCATATGGATTTGTTCGATAAGACGAAATACCAAAGGAGCAGGTTTAATTGGTATAATACGCCGAGTAATACATGAACCAAATTTACACTGTGGTGTCATTGGAACTGATTGTTGTTCAAAGGGTTCTGTCTCATCCAACTTTACTTTTACACGATCTCGACTAACGTGTGTACCACTACTACTTCCAGCGCTAATAGTACTATGATGGCTTAATATCAAATTTGCATCATCTGATTCCTTGTTTGAAATTGAATCTGTAGATTTGGATTGAATAAGCGTTAGGGCCTATTTTATATTTTTTAAAAAGATGCAAACAATTCGATCGTTTATTTTAAAACTTAGTAAATTTTCGAGAATTAATCTATCTTTTAACATAAGGCATATAAGATGATATTCAGGAAAAATCACTGATTTCTAAGATTACAATTACATCACGGTCAACCGAGGTTGTAATGACCAAAATGAATAGCTAGCGAATGAAATTTAAGTGGTAAATACTGTTACTAAATGAAGGAGAGCAAAAGAAAAGGCATAAAAGAGGCAACCCTTCAACATGTCAGGAGGTTCTGGGCCACAAGGAGCACCATCACAAGGAATGGATCACTGACGATACACTGGATAAGATTGAAGAAATAAGGAACAAGAAGGCGGCAATCAATATCAACCGAACAAGAGCAGAAAAAACCAAGGCACAAGCCGAACACACAGAAGTAAACATGCAAGTGAAGAGGAACATCGGAACCGACAAGCGTAAACATGTGGAAGATTTTGCAATGAGGCGGGAAAGGCTGCAAGAGGAGGAAACATGAGACAATGGTACGATACAACAAAGAAACTCGCTGGAAATTACCGTAAACCAGAACAACCAGTGAAAAGCAAGGAAGGTAAGGTAATCACCAACATTGAAGAACAACGAAACAGGTGGGTAAAACACTTCAAAGAACTCTTAAATCGACCAGCTCCACTGAACCCAACCAACATCGAAGCAGCACCCACAGACCTCCTAATCGATGTTGGCCCACCAACAATTGAAGAGATCAGCATGGCCGTTAGACAAATCAAGAGCGGCAAAGCAGCGGGACCAGACAACATCCCGGCAGAAACACTGGAAGCAAATATAGCAGCAACTGCAAAGATACTTCACATCCTCTTCAGTAAGATTTGGGATGAAGAACAAGTACCAACAGACTGGAAAGGACTTCTGATCAAAATACCAAAAAAGGCAATCTCTGCATGTGCAATAACTACAGGGGCATCACTCATTTCTCAATACCAGGAAGTCTTCAGCGGGGTATGAATGACTCAGTAGACGCCCAACTTCGAGATCAACCGGCTGGATTCCGTAAGGATCGATCGTGTACTGACCAAATCGCAACTCTACGGATCATTGTGGAACAATCAATTGGATGGAATTCATCACTCTACATCAACTTCATTGACTACGAGAAAGCATTTGTTCACTGTCACCCTTTCCCTTTTTCCTAGTGATCGACTGGATCATAAAAACGTCAACATCTGGAGGGAAGCACGGGATACAATGGACAGCTAGGATGATCTAGACGTCTTAGACGATCTGGCTCCTCTATCGTACACGCAACAACAAATGCAGAAAACAACCAGTGTAGCAGCAGTGAGTCTCAATATATACAAAGGGAAAAGCAAGATTCTCCGACACAATACAGCATGCAGCAACCGAATTCAATTGACGGAGAAGCTTTTGAGGAAGTGAAAACCTGTACATATCTGGGCAGCATTATTGATTAGCATGGTGGAGCTGATGGAGATGTGAAGACGCGATTCGGCAAAGCAAGAGCGGCATATCTACAACTGAAGAATATCTGGAACTCAAAACAATTGTCAACCAACACCAAAGTCAGAATTTTCAATACAAATGTCAAGACAGTTCTATTGCATGGGGTGGAAACTTGGAGAACTACGAAAGCCATCATCCAGAAGATACAAGTGTTTATTAACAGTTGTCTACGCAAAATACTTCGGATCCGTTCGTCAGACACTATCAGCAACAACCTACTGTGGGAGAGAACAAACCAGACTCCATTGGGGGAAGAAATCAGGAAGAAGCGGTGGAAGTGGATACGACACGCATTGAGGAAAACACCCAACTGCGTCACAAGGAAAGCCCTAACATAGAATCCTGAAGGCCAAAGGAAAATAGGAGGACCAACGAACACATTACGCCGAGAAATGGAGACAGACATGAGAAGAATGAACAACAGTTGGATAGAACTAGAAAGAAAGGCCGAGGACAGAGTGGGTTGGAGAATGCCGGTCAGCGGCTTATGCTCCACTGGGAGTAACAGTCGTAAGCAAGCAAGTAATATATGCATTATACCTGCCCTTTTGAAAGCATTCAGTCAGCTAAATTAGTGGATCAGCAAAACATTCCGTAATTCATATTATGTTATTAGGAGATACCCAACCTACCAAACCTTTTTAAGACTTAATTCTAAGAGATACTGAAGCAGTTGAGTAATAGTAAAGTTTAACCAAGTGCAAAACATAGAACAAGCATGCCGAAACTGCCTGCGTAGATGATTTAGTATTCGTTTACTTTTATCAATAATTGGCATTTATTGTCTTAAAACGCGGAGAGATGTCCTAGATACATAAACTTAAATAAAGAGTCATCAGGAATAAATGTATGTTTATCAGTTAGATGCTAAAAACAGGTTTGATGGATGCTATAGATCATTGAAGTCCAATAAGGAAATATTTGAAAATGTGTATATTTCTTCATAATTACTGTTCCATAAATCACAGTTCATCAACAAAATCGATCACAAAATTATTCAGTTTATTAGTGCATTGATACACTAATCAACTATTGATGTTTATATAACGACTGTAAACGACGGTAGATTGTAGACCAGCTTTGATTTATCCGAATAAGTAGACTGACAGTTGTTCTCTAACTTTTATATACTCTATATATAAAAAAAGATACTCTAAACGTCATATCACGTATTTTGAAAGGTCAACTACAAATATGTTAACTATTTAGATATTAGAGGGGGTTTTGTAGAGAATTTAGTATTTTCACTGTTGAAATCATGAGTCAATTGAAGCTAGACCATCATCGAAAATCTGGAAGCACTGGACGGCCGCTTTGTCCTATTACGGGACTCCTCAGCAGTGCGCATCCACGATCCCACACTCGCGAGATTCGAACCTAGGACCTACCAGTCGCAAGCCAGAGCCCTTAACCGATATATCACTGAGCCGGCATCCAACGGTGTTGATGTCTAACTTCAACCAATCCACAATTTTGAGCAACCGTTCACCAAATGTCTTCAGTGAGTTGATATCTCTACAACAGACTTGGTAGAACTCTACTGGCCACTGCTTCTAACTAGAACTCAAGGGAATATCTCTTGAAGTCAGTCACTAGTGGGCATATGATTATAGATCAGAGGGGGTTTTGTGGAGAATTTAGTATTTTCACTGTTGAAATCATGAGTCAATTGAAGCTAGACCATCGAAAACCTGGAAGCACTGGACGGCCGTTTCGTCCTGTTATAGCACTGCTGAGGAGTCCCATAGTAGGACGAAGCGGCCGTCCAGTGCTTCCAGGTTTTCGATGTTGGTTTAGCCTCAATTGACTCATGATTTCAACAGTGAAAATATTTAGATATCTTCAAAACATGCAAATACACAAACTAATCGGTCTTGAATAATAGACGTATCAACTATTATCAAATACAACAATTACATTGTATTCTAAACAAGATTTTCATTAAAAACCCAATAAAATAGACCATATATATGGCCTATCTTACTGAATATATATATATATATATATATATATATATATATATATATATATATAATTTACCTATAGACAATCAGTATACAGCTTATATAAAATTAACTCAATTTGACCTGATAACCAATAAAATATATTCGTTTATTAATTTTACAATACACTACTATCAAATTACCGTGACAATATAATATGAACTAAAACAACAATAACACTATTAGCCAGTTTGAAAGACTATTGTCAATCTTTTCAACCCATTATGTACACAATTATTTATAAGCTTTAGGTTTAATTTATAATAAATAAATAAAAAATTAAAAGTGGGTGATTTCAATAACAAATAAAAGATCAAAACTGATACACATAAATATCGAAAGTTTAACGATATAAAATCTTTCGAATGTACATGTCATATATTGTTAATTAATTGGAGAGAAGTTTATACTGATGTAATAGTGATCACTGTCTTGTATATAATCAGTTTTATATAGTTGAGATCATGAGTCCATTGAAGCTAGATCACCATCGAAAATCTGGAAGAACTGGGCGGCCATTTCGTCCTATTGTGGGACTCCTCAGCAATGCGCATCCACGATCCCGCCTTCGCGAGATTCGAACCCAGGACCTACCGATCTCGCACCAGAGCACTTAACCGATAGACCACTGAGCCGGCACCCAACGGTGTTAATGTTTAACATCAACCAATCCACGAATCCCGCTTCCCGAGATTCGTGGATGCGCACTGCTGAGGAGTCCCACAATAGGACAAAACGACTGTCTAGTGCTTACAGGTTTTCCATGGTGGTCTAGCTTCAACTGACTCATGCTTTCAACTATGTAAATACTAAATCTCCACAAAAACCCCTTCTGATAATAATCAGTTTTAAACATATGTATTAGAACAATTTACTATACTCCACATCAGAATAATGAGAAATTAACAAGATGAACGGTAAATAAGGTGAAGTAATGAAAACAAAAGTAGTTGAGAACTATATACAAGAAAAATGATATTATCATTGAAATGAGAATGGAACGTACAAAAAATGATTGCCGAAACTCAATATTAGGGAAAATGTGATGATAAAGATAACCGTGCTACAAAAACGAATTTGAGCCATATCATTTAAGGTTCTCTGTTATTATGATTATGGTGTACATATGGACTGGGAAGTCTGCAACTTCGAACATGACTTAGAACAACGATTGATGAGTCTATCAACTGATACTGTCTAAGCATTATTCCAAACAATTCTATGCTAGTCAGCAAAGCACACCTCTCAACTATCTTGTTTAATGAAAGTTTACGGCTTCATCGATGTATTTACTCTGTGGTATACAAAATATTTGAGCATCTGTAAGGAATACTGAGATAAATGTTTATCATTTTGCGAAGTAAACCTGTAGCATCTTTTACGTACTAGGTTTATGGTTACTACTTTTGAAATAAATTAAAGTTCAGTAGACTAATGCTAATTTTTGAGCTAAATATATTGTAAAGGGCAATAAAACAAATTGCGTACAATAAACTGAGCACTTCATTACAATTTTGAAAAGGATTAGTTGACAAACGACGACTCTAGAAAACTAGGTTTTATGTTGCACCCAGAACGATCTAACATCGGTTGAGATTCCCAATTAAACGATGGAATCTCTAGTCTTATTCAATAAACCTACAATATGTCTTTAAAGCTTTCTATTCTGATTAGTTACACCAATTATCCAAACGACGTTTCTTTTTGAAGAACAGTAAGATGGAATCTTCGGTTATGTGGGCAGTCGGGTGGTGTTAACATTTAACACGACTGTAAAAGAATATACGTGTTTATTCCACTGTCATTGACTTACATTTTACCTTCCGATTCAAATTTTATACTACTTTTAACGGTGTTGACCAATTTAGGAATTACCACATATTGCATTACGGAATCAAACACATGGCATTTTGAAGCTAGCAATGTTTCTAATGTTCGTGAATAAAAAGGCAACAGCAGATAAAAATCGGATAGTTTGAATTATGGGTATACTATGAATAGGTTTTTCTTAATTACTACACACGGAGTACTCAAAAAGAAAGAGCAGTTTAACGATGCATTATCGGATGGAGAGACATAATTGGCTTGGATTAATCTACAATCTATCTGACATATGATTAAATGCAACTTAATTACCTTGTACAAGTTTGTGTGTCCGAAATGAAAAGCTACAACCTAGCTATACTGGGAATAAGTGAAACCCACTAAACACAATTTGGACAAAACGGACTAACTTCAGAAGAGCTGTTAACATATTCTTATCACGAAGAAAATGTCCCGCACACTGATGCTGTTCAAAGAAGAACAAAAATCCCTCATAGGATAAGAAATTCACTATTCTAAGAGCATTGAAAAATCTTCCAAAAAGAGGGGAGAATCACAATAAAAGTCGTCTAGTGATACGCGCTCACCAATAATAGCAAAGAAGAAGATAAAGATCAGTTTTATGAGAGGCTGCAGTCGATCATACTGAAGCGCCTAGGAAAAGATCTACCCATTCTGATAGGAGACCTAAACACCGAGGTTGGTGTAAGGACAGTTCATAGGTGAACTTGAGGAATCTCTAAGAAGCTCAAAAGGAGGCGAACATATTGGATCCCATGGGCTTTTGGAAGAATATTCCAGAATCACTACGTGTAGCTTCCCTATTGGACAAATGCTAGTAACCCCTTGTCAGAGGATTAGATAACTATAATGATGATTTCGTTTTTACTAAAAACTATAAATCACCTGCCAGTTTTGTACCATAATTGACAATGTTTGGAATACCATTCCTTTCACTCGTCTTCTATCTCCTCATTTTGCGACTGCGAAAGGTTCTAGAGTTCGAGTGCTCAAGTTAAACACGACGTACTAAGAATCTAAGTTAGAGATATAACAGTTGGAATGGACAACATTGAGTGTGAAGGCATCGTGGACTAGGAGAAAGGAACGAAAACGGTGAGATTGGCAAATCTTTCAGCAACATGGTTATAATTAGCACCATTTCCCCCTGCAAACACATAGACAGAACTACATGATTCTCACCAGACGACACTACAGAAGATCAGGTCGACTACGTACGCATCAGTAAAAAAATTCACAGGAAACATGAAAGATGTAAGAACACAGAAAGGAGGCGTAGCTTCAGATCACCATCTGGTGGTGGTCAAGCTAAAAACGAAGCAGTATGACATACGTTCGGTACAGATTTATTTTGAGATTTTAACAGTCTCAGCTAGTTCAACATAGCTCTCAGCAACAAGTTTCAAGTCTCACAAGATCTACTAGAAGAAGAGGAAACCCCCATGGAGATCAACTGGAAAGGGACTAAGTAAACAATAACTTCATCATCTCATGTGCTGGACACAGCAAACACCACAATAAAGAATTGATCTCTATAGATACTCTGGGTAAGATTCAAGAAAGGAAAAGTAGGAAAACAGCAGTCAACAATAGAGGAATGAAGGTAGAGAAGGCCTGAATATATGGAAGCAAACAAACGTGTAAAGAAGAGCATGGCAACAGACAAGTGGAAATATGTAGAAAACCTGGTAATCAAAGTAAAACAAGCTGCAGGATAAGGAGATATGAAAGAACTATATGATACAACCAGGACACTTGCAAAAAATATAGTAGATCAGAGCAACCAGTCAAAAACAAAGGAGCACCAATCACTGAGGTTGAAGAGCAGTTGAACAAGGTGGGTAGGATACTTTGAAGAACTCTTGTGTGGATCAGAGTCACTAACCCCTTACGACATTCAAGTATAACACATGGACCTCCCCCAATGACTGGTACCTTACCAATGATAGAAATCATCAAGGCCATTAGACAAATTAGAAACGGTAAAACAGGAGGACCAGACAACCATTAAATTCTGATAAGTAGGCAACTGCAAAAATGCTCCAGGGAAACTTAGGAGGAATGACAAGTACAAGCAACGCGAAAAGAGCGATAACTCATCAAGATGCCACAGGGAAGAGGGAATTAAAAAGGGATCAAATTACTTTCAGTTCTAGGCGAAGTTTTCAACAGCGCTTCTGAACCGAATGAAAGATTTAGTAGACGCTCAACTTTAAGATCAACAAACTGGCTTTCATAAGGATCGATCGTGTGCCAATCAAATTGAGACACTATCAATCAAAAGAATAGTACTCAGAAATATACATCAAATTCCCTGATTATGAGAAAGGATTCAGCAATGTGGACAGGAAAAACTTATGGAATCTTTTTCCGCAATATAAAGTGCCCGACAATATCTTCACTATCACACGGAACCCTTACGACGGACTGAATTGAAAAGTTGTGCAAGGAAGACAACTTACAGATACATTCCAAGCGGAGACTGAAGTCAAACAAGGCTGCTTACTTTCTCCTTGTTGATTACATTATGATGCTCTCCACATTTCAGAGGAGACATGAAATACAATGAACGGCTTGAATGCACCTAGACTATTCGGATGAATTATCCCCTCTATCCCATACACCGTAAAAAATATAGATCAAGACAACTAACATGGCAGCAACTTCTGCAGCAGTAGATTTCACAATTCACGAAGAAAAAGGCAATATCCAGAAATACAACAAGAAGAGCACCAGCCAAATTCCTCTTGACGGAGAAGCCATGGAAGTGGAATCCTTTACGTGCCAGGGAAGTATCGTTGGTAAACAAGGATTATCTGATGCAGTTGTAAAAACACACACTGGTGAAGCAAGGGCAGGATTTTTACAACTGGAGGACATATAGAACTCAAAACAACTGTCAGCCAACTAAGTCAGAATCTTCAATACAAACGTCAAGACCACCCTACTGTACGGAGTTGAAATGTGGAGAATTACCACGATTATCATCTGAAAGGTACAGATATCTATAAGTAGCTGTTTACGCAAGATACTCCATATCTGTTGGTCAGATACGAACAGCAACAGCTTACTGTGGGAGAGAACAAACCAGCTTCCAGATGAAGAGGAAATCAGGAAAAGACGCTGGAGGCGGATAAAACAAACTTTACGAAAACCATCAAACTGCATCACAAGGCAAGCCATAACTTGGAATTCTCAAGGGAAAAGGTAAAGAGATAGACTGAAGAACACAGCCCTGGGAACTAGAGATGGACATTAAGATCATGAATACCAATAAGCAATAACTGGAAAGAAGAGCCCAGGACAGAGTTGATTAGAGATCTATAGTCGGAAACCTATGCTCCAAGAAGGATAACAGGTCTAAGTATGTAATTATGTATTGTAGTTGTCTGTTCTGTTTGGTTCGCATAGATCACGCTCCGCATTAGAAGAATCTCCTAATCGGCCGTTAACAGGAAATATTGCAACAAATCTCGAAATTAAAACAATTTTTGAAAAGATTAAAACTACGAAAAATCTCTCCTAATCTTACCTCGATACTCTTAGAATCGCAATTAATCAATAAACTTGTAGCAGACCATTTAAGTTGTTTTAATTGACAATCTCTAGATTTCTGACACAAGAGACTAGATTTAATTGGTGGATGCGATTGGTTGGATAATAATGATTCCTCTGGTCTAGTATTATTATTGGAGTTATTGAATGATAAGTCATTTAAATCGTTAATAATAAATGGACCGTAAGTAATCCACTGAAGTAAATTTTCTTCTAAACGTGATTTGAAACTTTCAGGATGTTCAACAGTCGCTTGTAACACATGACCACTATGGTATAAATCAGTAACAGTACCGGAGATTAGTGAATGATTTGCAAGTGTTGGCAATGGAGAATGATGAACTGGATTGATAGCATGTGGTACTTCTTCCTCTGTATGATAAATCGATGACGATGGTGACATATTATCAATACTGAAGATATTAGATCCATCCCGTACTCTTGATGATGATGAAAACGGTACCTCATGATCACGTGATTGCAGGGTACACAAATGCTTTGATGAACGATCTGCAGATTGTGGATAGATTGGTAAACAGTGAGTTTTAAAATTATCTAACGTATTACACGGTGAAGTTGGACTGCTGCTTCTTCCTAGCGGTAACGTCAAGGCACTAGGATGATTACCTGAGCCCGGAATAACTTCAATTGGTAAACAACTACACAACTCTTCATCACCATCAAAGAATTTTCTAAAAAAAGTAAGCAAGTAATGAAAAACAAAACAGATTACTTAAAACGCGGATGGAAAACTCAATCAATAGATGAAAACAAACAAATAAAACACATGATCTACATCATATGTTATAAACAAAAGGCCAAATTTTAACAAAATCGTAAATATATATAGAGTAAATAATAACATATTATGTTTACGCACTAATGGTCATTAAAATCTAGACATGAAACTGTAAACAACCTTAACGTTTGATTATGCTTAAAGAAATGAAGCTAACTAATGCAGTTTTTTTCAAATAGTTGATGAACTGGTTGATTCAAAATAGTTTTTTTCGTAAAAGATTTATACCTCACTGAAAAACAGTGAAGTTTAGAACAACCACCTTTACATTTTGAACCCATCCATGATGAGTAATTCCAATTCGGAAATTTAAGTTTCATGAGGAGTATGATCAGTTTATTGGTCTACAATATTATCAGTACGCATAGGAATGGATTATCTGACTTCCAAATAATTATTTATTATAAGAGGATAACCGAAAACGCCATGAACACTCTTTTATGTAATTTGTCTTGACAACTTCATTTCGCTGTGCCAATAGTAGTATATGGCAACTTGAACCGATGCACATTTATTCCAAGTTCTACACTGCGCATGACTACTGATGGGTTGGTTAATTCCAGGAGGGATATTATATATTTCAATGGTAAATTAACCTAAAAGTAGTGAAAACTTTGCAGTATTCTATGATCTCAATCTATTTTATAAAGGTCGATGATTTCATTAGAACTCATCTGAATAGCAAAAAGTATTGTACGATGGAAGTGACTAGAGAGAGACATATAGATCAAAGAAATCACATCGCAACCAAAAGCATAAAATGGAAATCATTCATCATCATGAACAACAATTACTTAGTGAAACAAATGCACCGAAAACTACTGTCAATACTCTAAATTTATGATCGGATTCACAGATAAGAACTGTTAATAAAACTTTAAAGAAAAACTTCCGAAAACAATTATTTACTCACTCTATCAGCAAAGGAACTTCAGTATACCGAGATTGATAAGAACGAGGTGAATTATTAGATGGACATGGTTTACTAGCAGCACTGCTACCATCTACTAATCCCGATGACATGTCAGTGGAACTGCAATTATCGAACGATTAAAATGAAAAACAATGATGTTACAGAATATATAAAGGTGATGATAAGCAACGTGTAAACAGCATGGATACGATTCAAAAATTATTTATAAACATGGGATATGCAGATGAAATAATTCTGTTTGGTGAAGACACTGATATAAGTCTTTTGATCCTTTTGAATGACAATGCATCTCTCTCCCTCTGGATGCAAAATGTTGCTTCAGGACTGACCTACACTAGCACTTAAACTAATGGTATAGAAAGAACTGGTTAACGCGCCGACGACTTCACTTATCTTGAAAGTCTCACCAGCCCTAGTAGGCAAGTGTCTGACAAAGTCACGAAACGCATTTACGAAATTAGATAAGCTTTTGCTAAAGAATGCATATCCAATCATCGCCTACCCTGGCAAGCAATGATTGCTGGTTTAGAAGTAAGTTGGAGCAAAGCTAAATGTTATCGAACCAAGACGTAGCATCAGTCCATGAAGATATTGACTGTTGGACTGAGCCGTGTTGGTAAGTCCAGACTAACTGTTAGGGGTCAATGCGATTATTACAACTAATAGCTGGAAACATTGAATGACATAGCTTAGAATCGGTCGCGATAGTGTAGATATATTCACTCTACATTTTCCTTGCGGCTTTGTTTAAAATTACCTTGTATATTTTATTCCACAAATTTACTTTCTCCTCAAATTATATTTTTTATGCCTAACGTTTTCTACTACCACTGACTCTGATGATACTTCTAATACTTTTTCGCTAACCTTGATAATTTCATCTCGCTGTGATGATGTGGTGTAGTACGTAAATGGTTAGTTCTACCTTGCCTATAACTGACTGATTGAATAATAAATGAATTGTTATCAAAAAATACATGAATTCCAAAAATCAGCCCAGATAGTCACTCATGTGGTAATTTTCATTGAGAGAATTCTCAAGTAGTTATAAGACAGAAAGTATGAATTATTGAGATATCAACGATACGAAGTCATTAAAACTGTGTGACCAGGTTAGTAATAATCCATTGAATTTCTTAATAGTTTTCGTATGGTCAGTTTTATATCATATCAGACGTCGCTCAATGAAAACAGAGGTAAAATGAACTTGAATAGACTACAATACACAAAAAACGAAAGCGCGTAGTTTCAAACGACTGAATTGCAATCACATGTAAATAAACATTGATTTTACTCAAAACGATAGAAAAAGACAACTGATACAATATAAACTTACCGTGTTGTGCCAACAGAAGTTTGAGAATTAATTAGACCGGATGCCGCTGCCGCCGCTGCTGCTGCAGCCTCCCGAGTAACCATAAAGTGAGCAGCTACTTCAGCCATTCGACACTGGTCACGAGTTAGTCGATGTGTCATGCACAACGCCATACCAGAAACGTGTGTAGGAGATGATCCAGTGCTCGCCGAATGAAATGTAGAAGTCAAATCTTCCTGAGAACTGATACCAGAATCATGTGCATCACCGCCGTGACCAGTTGAGTTACTACTGGTCGCCGACCCAGATTTACGACGTGATTTAGCACCTAGACGAGTCTTTTAAAAATAAAATAAGTTTTTATTTCCAACGAGCTGTTCATTGTCTCAATTCTAAAATAACAGACCCTATTGTTATCCAAAACAGATTTACACGCAAGCATTGTATTCAAAAAATTATTGCGCAAGCACAACTTTAGTAACATTGAGCATTAAAGTATACAACGAACTGTCTTGATCTTCACAGTCAACGTAATATTCCAATTTACAATGTATGGGACCACCACAATTCGACGGTAAAGTACAAGTATTAACAAAAGTACAATATAAGTGAAGAGTACAAACACTTATAGAATCAATATGAACTAGCATGGAATTGAGTCCATAGACATTAAACGGAAAAACATTAATAGTACACTATACCGTTTTGGGAAGGAGAGATTGTAACACTGAAGTAAATAAATCCATATTGATAGTTCCTGTTTTCCTCATTATCAAATCATTTTTCCATTTTAAGCACATAACATGCACTTCTGTGAAATTGTGATTTATAGCCTTAGGGAGTTAGCCTACAACTGGTGGGTCATACATTCATAAGCTCTCTCACTCCGTAGGTGTATATGGGCTGCCTTCTATTCTGACTATCGAGTGACCGAGCATGGGAAACCGTATTCTGTACAAATAGTCATTTAGTGTTACTCGTGGCTATTATTACATATTAGGCGTATCATTGGTTTGCCGAAGGTCATTGGTACTAGATAGTTTAGGAAAGGTAATCAATACTCGGACTAGATCAATACAAACGCTCTCTTGTCTTTTAGTCCGATCTCAAAGGTCCAATAACAGACGAGAAAATATTTTTGTTTACTGACACATCAGTATTTCATAATGAGTTGACGCATCTGCGTGTGATTGCTGAATTGTCAACAAGCGACAATTATTTGTCTGATTGTTGTTATTCATAATGATGATACAATTAAGGCACCAAAATACTAAGGTTTTTGTATCCACGCAGGTATATCAGTTATAATACATGTTAAGCTACTTAAGAGACATTTTCCCCGAAACAGTTTCGCAGACTAACATCGTACACTCTAGTCTGAATATTCTTTAACACCCTTCATGGTGTCTGGGTAAATTTAAAAGAAGTGTACCACAATTCCTAGTGAAATACAGCATAAAGCTAAATATGAATATGACCATTACCAAACGTCAATGCGACAAACAATCTAGTGATGCACACTCTTGATTAATTCAGTCCAATTTAAGAGTATGAAAATATAGTATGACAGACTTTGATCACGGTTCTAATCGGCATCCTCCACCCTCATCAAACGCGAATGAATATAATTATAAAGCAGAACAAAAAGTCATCAAACAAGTCACATAGACCATCTTTGAAACTTAAAAACATTTTTGACACGGGATCACTAACATCGAACAAACTGGCAATTTGTAACCCAGAAAGAAATAGGTCAAAGAAGACACTGGTGGTGATACGATTACCATAAAACTTCAATATATTATAGAGTTATTTACTTCCGATCACTTAGTAAGTTTGCATTTCCCTTCGTTGATTACTTTTGCAATACTATTCGACAGTTTTATTGATTTAATAGATACACTATAATACAAAGTTCAATACAGCTCTTCGAACCGCAAAGAATATATATATATGTGACTAAACTGAAAACATTAAGACCTACAAGGAATATAGTAATCCAGAAGGTCTGGCAGTTAAAAATGAAGCGATAATTGTGAAATTTATTCTAAATTTATTTACTAACCATTTAATCTCGGGGTCCAATGTACATTTACCTACATTACACTAAATTAATAATCAACCCACGCCATAAGACTGAATCCTTAGGTAATAATTATAAGGTTATTATTTATTAAACGCGACCTAAATGCATCGGTAAGGTCTATAATCATTTTTGAGGAACAGAAGATCATATAAGGAAAATAAGTGTAAATTTGATGTAGAGTGATAGCCTACCCTAGTAAACGGCATAAAACAATCAACTCTAAAAAATTAACATGATCACCACCTACCCGCCGTTTCTGTTGTTCTAATTCAAACAGATCAGCTGGTCCAAGTTCTGGGAGGCATTCCTGCGTGTGAATCAAGCACATGAATCTCAAGAAATATGTAGCGAAGTGAAGAAGGGCCATTAAATAAGCACGAGACTGGCCAGAAATTACAGTGCAGTTAAATATACTTCCGAATGATACTGAATCCGTTCCCATGGTTCTGAAACCTGTTTGTGTGAGCAACTGATCCAATAACCTGACGGGCATATTCTGGTTATTCGATATTGACGAATTCCCACAACTGACCCCCTAAGATAATGAATTTTAGAGAACAAAACCAAGTAATTATTCTAGGATGAAATGATTCATAGAGATTTCGTTAATTCGATGCATTGACGTATTGAAGATTCTGAATTCGATATTGGTTGACAGTTGTTTTGAGTTCCATATGTTCTTCAACTGTAGGAATGTTGTCCTTGCTTTGCCAATCATCGCCTTTACGTCTGCAGCAGGTCCTCCAAGTTCATCAATGATGCTACCCAGATACGTGAGAATTTCCACCTCTTCCAGAGTTTCTCCATCAAGTGTGATTGTGCTGGTGTTTTCCGTGTTGTATTTGAGGATCTTGCTTTTCTCCTTGTATGGGTTGAGGCCTACTGATGCAGAGACTGCTGCTACACTAGTTGTCTTCATCCTCATTTGTTGATTTGTATGGGATAGAAGGGCCAGGTCATCTGCGAAGTCCAAATCTTCTAATCGATTCCGAGCTGTCTATTGTATTCCGTGCTTTCTCTCAGACGTCGAGGTCTTCATAATGCAGTCTACCACCAGAAGAAAGAGAAGGGAAGAACGTAAGTAGTCTTGTCTGACTCCTGTCTTCGCTTGGAATGTATCTGTCAGCTATACTTCATGCATGACTTTGCACTTTAGTTCATTGTATGAGTTCCGTACGATATTGATGATTTCAGATACACTATGGTGTTGAAGAAGTCTCCATAATGTTCTCCTATCTACACTATTAAATGCTTTCTCATAGTCAAGGAAGTTGATGTATAGTGGGGAGTTCCATTCGATTGATTATTCAACGATGATCCTCAGTGTCTTGATTTGGTCTGTGCACGACCGATCCGGCCTGTTGATCTCGAAGTTAGGCGTTTACTGAGTTTTTCATCCGGTCCAGCAACACTATTGAGAACTTTTCCCAGTACTGGAAGTAGTGTGGTTTCTCTGTAGTTCTCACATTTGCTTAGATCTCCTTTCTTTGGTATCTTGGTGAGGTGTCCTTTCCAGTCTGCCAGTACTTATCCTCTCCCCCAAATCTCCCTGAATAGAACGTGGAACATCTTTGCATTTACTTCTCTATCTGACTTCAGTGCTTCAGCTGGCGTATTTTCAGGTATTACTACTTTCCCATTCTTGATTTGTCTGGTGGCCATCCTGATTTATTCGATCGTTGGTGGAGTGACATATATAGGAAGGTCTGCAGGTGCTGCTACAATGTCTGGTGGGTTCAGTAGATCTGGTCTATTCAAGAAACCCACCCATGTGTTCCTCTATCCTTAAATTTCAGTGATTGGCCTGCCTTCTTTGTCCTTGACCGATCTATCTGGTTTACTATATTTCCCTGTCAGTTTCTTCATCGTGTCATATAGTTGTTTCATATTTCCTTCTCTTGCAGCTTTTTCCGCTGTCGTTGCTAACTCTTTCACGTAATTCTGCTTGTCGACTCGAAAACTCCTCTTCACTTGCTTGTTTGCTTCAGTGTATTCAGCTTGTGTCTTGACTTTCTCTGTTCTTTTTGGCTATTGTTAATTGCTATCTTCTTGTTCTTCCTTTCTTGAATCTTGTTCAGGGTTTCGATAGAGATCCATTCCTTATGATGATGCTTCTTGCAGCTCTTTCAGTATAGTCCCAGCTAAAAAATCATTGAAAATTAGATGATGAACAGCTGACTTGTTTTCATTTTTAACAATGCATAACCTCATCTCCATGAGACAGGACGCAGAAGCTTTAGGTTTTTAAGCGAAGGCTGATGTGTATAGTCAACTAAATTGTTAATGAAAATTTTCGTGAAATAATTAACTAAAGCACAAAAGCAACAATAGCCAGTTCAAAAACAAATAACTGTAAGTGAATTTAATGAGATGAAATCAGCATGTAACACAGCTACTCTCCAGTCTTATCACACACACGTTTACAAAGTATAAACGATCAGTCAGTCAGTCACAACGTAGAACTTCGTACGTACGTACATCAGTACGAGTTGCCATACCACATTGGCACAGAGATGCAGTTGTTGATTCAAATCCCATAGTGGTAGAAGTAGTAAGAGTATAAGCATTAATGTGAAAGATTAGGGTTTGAAGATGTTATTGAAGGTGAATAATACAGTGAAATAAATTTGGAAAGAGAAAAACATAAAGACATGAGGAATTCAGAAGATTAGAATTTGGTAGAACACAAAGAGTGGATGTACCTTCGCCATTGCAAACGATTTTGAGCCATGTCTTTCAAGGTATCTAACCATCGATTGCTATCATCTCGCGAATCCCAACCAAGTAGTCTACACCTACCAGCATGGCTCAGTCCAATTGTCAGTGACTTCATGGATTTGTGCCACGTTTTGGTCTGGCCACCCCCAGATTTCTTCCAACCTACTCCTACAGCATAAAACATGGCACGTCGGGGCAGTCGGTGGTCGGGCATACGTAACACGTGTCCCGGCCATCTCAACTGATCAAGTTTCACTACTTCATCAATCGATTTGCCACCCTTACCTAGTACCCGTTTCCTAACAACTGCATTACTTACCCGGTGGTCCCAGGATATACGAGCAATGCTTCGAAGACACCTATAATCGAATACTAGTAGCCTACGAATATCCTCTACTCTTATCGGCCATGTTTCACTGCCGTAAAGTAGGACGGAACGGACCGCTGCACAGTAAACCCGTCCTTTGGTTGCTAGACGGATATCTCGCCTACGCCATAAATGACGCAATTTGGCGAGAGCTAGACGAGCCTTCTGTATCCGTGCTGAGATTTCGTCACACACCAGACCACAAGGGCTGATGAGACTCCCGAGATAAGTGAAGCGGTCAACACGCTCAACTACTTCACTCCCTATCATTAGTTCAGGTGCTGATGCAACCCAATCCTGAAGTAACATTATGCACTTCGAGGGAGAGAACCGCATCCCGAACATGCCTGCATTGTTGCTTATAGTGGTCAGAAGACTCTGCATTTTGTCAGCGTCTTCACTAAATAGAACGATGTCATCGGCGTATTCTAAGTCAGCAAGTGAATCTCCCGGTAAAATCTCAACTCCTGGAGATTTAGATGATGAAAGTGTTATCTCTAAAAGCATGTCGATGACAAAGTTAAACAAGAATGGGGAGAGTGGACAGCCCTGACGAACACCACCTGAGGTAACCAATTCTGATGACAGTTCGCCATAGGCTCTAACTCGACCAGTTGTGTTTGAGTAGAGTCTTTATGAGGTTAATGTACTTCTTTGGTACTCCTTTCAGTGACAAACACTGCCATAGAACCTCACGATCAACGGAGTCAAATGCCGCCTTAAGGTCAAGAAATACTACTATTGTGGGACGTCTGAATGTATATCTATGTTCTAGGACCTGACGTAATGTGAATATCTGGTCTATACAACCACGTCCACGTCGAAAACCAGCCTGGTTTTCTCTAGTCTGCTCTTCACGAGCTTTCGTTAGGCGCCGAAGTATTATTGAAGCTAATATTTTAGACACTGTACTAGTCAATCTGATCCCTCTGTGATTGTCGCAAGAGGAATTTTGTCCTTTCTCATAGACTGGCACAATTAGTGATTGGAACCAGTCAGACAGAATTACGTCCAGTTCCCAGATTCTACCTAAGACCTCAGTCAATTTCGCTGCTAGTACTGGGCCACCATCCTTAAAAATCTCAGGGGTAAACCTGTCAGAGCCTGCTGCTCTCCCTCGCTTCAGATTTCCTATAGCTTTTTCAAACTCGTAATGAGTTGGAGGACTTACATCAATTCGCCATTCAGGACGACTGGGGATCGTGGGAAATCGAAGTGTGGCTGAAGGCCAGTTGAACTGATCCCTAAAGTGTTCTGCCCATCGATCCAACCTCCTGGATTGAGAATGAATGATATGCCCATCTTTATCTGAGATAGTTTCACTGATAATTGGGTTTCTAATACCGGCTTCTTTAACAAGTCTGAATAGTTGTCTGCTGTTACCTATTGCCGCTGCCTTTTCCATCTCTCTTGCTTTCGCTACCCACCACTGTTCACGATCATTGCACAGACTTCTTATTAGCCTGCGCTTAAGCTGACTCCGCTCTTCGTTATGTTCAAAGCCAGATGGGATGCGTTTTCGAGCACCTATCAGTGCAGAAGATGCTGCCGAGATCCAGTGTTTCTCTCTAACCTTATGGTTTACCTTAACAGCGGATATCACTGCTGTTTCCACAGCTTTTCGGATGTCATTCCACGCTGCCTCGGGGTGGGCATAACTTACATGGTTGTCTGTTTTTCTAGTTGTTGCTGAAATATATTCTTAGCTTGCCTATCACTAAATAGAACCCTAAGAGGTTTCCCTGCGATGTCTTTCCTACGTCCACTAAGATGCAGACAGATACGTGCTCGCACTAGTTATTCATTTCTTTAAACACATAAATATTGGTACAAGGAAGCACCAGATAGATATACAAATCTCATTCGATTTGTGTAAGGGCTGAGATACTGCTCAGGTGCCCAAACTGAAGCAGGTGGTTTTCTTAAGGGGCCACACCTGGAGCCTTTGACCTAAAGGTCTGATCCACAAAGAAGTGGAGCATCGTGAGGAGATGCAATCCCATGGTAGCCGGTGACCAACGATTGATTCATGCGCCATTTGTTCCCTCAGGATACTGAAACTAGCCCATGTGCATCATTGGTTTGGAATGAGGGTTTTCCAACTCCCCTAGGTGGACTCATCGTGTCCACCAACCTGGCGCTTTGCTTTTCGTCCTCTAAATTTCGTAAACAACAGTGATGCCACGAGAAGTCAGTGAGTAGGACTTCCCTGACAGAGGCTGTATACGCGTGGCCATGTGAGAGCATTTGGAGAGGGAGAGCGGACTCACCCCACTCTCGGCCATACCAGGGCATTTGGGGGCGCTCGCACTAGAGCAGGATCCGAATCTAAACATGTGCTCCAGAATGAGCGATAGTCTTCTATCGAGCCCCTACATCGGTGGCTGATAGCGATGTGGTCTAGTTGGGTCCAACGTTGGGAAGAATTCGAGGGTCGCCATGTCAAAAGA